GTATTGAAGCTTCAATTTCAGCATCATCCAATTCATCCAATGAATGTTCAGAATTGATTTCCAGTATACTCTTTTATTCCTCTTAATAAATACTTTACTTATTTCAGTACTTTCCATCTGTGTGGGAATTCTTTTCTGCAAAGCTGAAGGGCCAGGGCCCTTGTCACTGACCGTTGGTCCAGTGGCTAGGATCTGGTGCTTTCACTGCTGTGACCCAGCCACAATATCCTGGGAACCAAAGCCTTGCTCCAAGACATTGCCGGCCGAGGCCACCTGAGATCATGATGACATATGCTAATACATGGTTTGTATATCACAGAAGCTTAATTTTACATGCATGTTATTCTTTTGAATAATATGTAACAATAACTTCATAATATAAGGACACAATGAAGTATCATACCAATTAAAGGTAATTTATCTCTGGCTTATATATTGCATAGTTGCAGGTTTTGGTAGCCAGGAAGCCCCAGACATATACAGACAGAGAAAGAAATGAACATTAGTGGCAAGAAGGAGATAGATGAGCTTGTGTCTACTCTCAGCTACCTAGTCAAAAGAAGTCTAGATTGCACTGCATTCTCCAGTTAGAGCTTCTTAATCTGTTGACTGTCTAGCTGTCTTACTACCATGACACTTGTTTTTCATATCGATTAGACCTATTCTTATTCTTCCCGTTTATAAACCTCCTGGTCAGTTTCTTCCTAGCTGCGCATCCTGGTGAGACACTTTGTTGTCTCACTTACCAACACCTTCAACCTCCATATTTTTTCATGGCGGCTGATTACAAAACCCTGACCATGAATCAGTACTCTCATGCATTTTCTTTGCTCATGTAACCAGATTTCTGAGCCCTGCAGGAGATAGGTATGTTTACAATTTTAGTCAAGGCTGAGCCTTCAGTGCGCTTCAGAAATTACAAAATATATTTCAACAGAAATGTGAAGGGTCATAGGTGACACAAGAGAGTTATAAAAGAAGGCATGAACTGGGAGCAAATTAACCACTGACTGTCAAGGGCTTATTTTCATCATCTCCTAGTGAGTGGGTGGGTCAGTGTTAAAGTCACATTAGCCAGATTCAGAAGCATCCAACATGAAAACAACATGCAAATTTATTAGTTTATGAGAAAAATAAACCAAACTAACTCATATTTTCTTTCCAGTTCATTATCTTCCAGTAGACTACTGTGCATATGAAACCAGATGATCATCTAAGAGTGATTTGGTTAAAGTTAGATGAGAATAATAATTCATTATTGGTTATATAGTTAAATGACCCAGGTTATGAAAAGTTATGCATAGATATGAGAAGGGAAATAAAAATACCAATTATGGGCCAGCTTGCCCTCTCCTCTAGAAGAATCTTGGAAGGGTACTGCCAACTTTCAAACTCTTACCCTTTCTCTTTTAACATCCTTTTTTACAAACCCTTTTTATTTCTTTGCAGACATTCTTATTGTTTACTGTATAATAAAGCTATAACAAACCTAGACAGTGTATTAGAAAGCAAAGACATCACTTTGCCAACCAAGGTCCATATAGTCAAACCTATGGTTTTTCCAGTAATCACATATGGATGTGATAGTTGAACCATAAAAAATGTTGAGCACCCTAGAACTGATGCCTTGGAATTGTGGTGCTGGAGAAGACTCTTTTAGACTGTAAGGAAATCAAACCAGTTAGTTTCCTAGGAAATTAACTCTGAATATTCATTGTAAGGACTGATGCTGAAGTTGAAGCCCCAATAATTTGACCACTTGTTGTGAAGAGCCAACTCATTGGAAGAGACCCTGATTCTGGGAAAGATTGAAGACAAAAGAAGATGGCGGCAGAGGATGAGATGGTTGGATGCCACCACTGTCAATGTGGTGCTGAGACTATTTGGACATGAATCTGAAGCAAACTCCAGGAGACAGTGAAGGACAGGGAAGCCTGGCATGCTGCAGTCCATGGGGTCGCAAAGAATCAGAAATGATTTGACAACTGAACAACAGCATAATATATAAACATGAAATTAAGATATTTTAATTTAACTTATATTTTTAGCATTGCTTAGGAAATGGTAAACCTATATCCTATATCCACGTTTTGATAATTGGTGTGGTACTTTAATGATTAAGTTATTTTGCAGTAATTTTGTCTAGATTGTAAGTGGCTCCCTATTCATCAAATCACCTTTATATTTATTATATTATTGAGCAACAGAGGATAATATATTTTTTAACACGGGGGAATTTCTAATCTTCTCACTCAGATATTAAGTATCACCTTTTTTTTTTTTTTTTGGTCTTTATTCAGCTTTAAAAAATGTAGTAAGAATCCTCAACATAAGATCTAGCCTCCTGATAGATTTTCAAGTGTACAATACAATACTGCTAACATAGTACACCGTTGTACAGCAGACCCCTAGAACTTATTCAGCTTGTATAACTGAAACATTATACCTGTTGAATACCAGTGCCTCATTCTTCCTCCCCACCAAGCCCTGGCAACCACCATTCTACTCTCCATTTCTGTTTGTTTGTTTTTTGTTTTAGATTTCTTCATATAAGTGGAATTACGCAGTATTTGTCCTTCTGTGACTGGCTTATTTCATTTAGTATAATGACCTCCAAGTTCATTCATATTGTTGCACATGGCAGAATTTCCTTCATTTTTAAGGCCGAATATTTTCTGTATATACAACATTTTCTTCATCCGTTTGTTAGTTTGCCACCTCCGCAGGAGCTGCCCAGGTGTAATCTGAACCTGGCCCCTCTGGACACGGAAGGCAGGGCAAGACCAAAGACAGAGGCAGACCATTGCAGGTAGGGGGGTAGGCAGGTTTAAGAAGCAAAGACACTTACACTATGTGGCTTGTCCTGGGCAGCTGCAAGATGAGTGAATCTCTGCACTGGCTCCCCACTCTGCCTGAATCCTGAAAGTTTGTAGAGAGGACTTCCCTGGTTAAAGTCACGTATACTGTCCAGATAGCCTCAGCAACACAGTACTATCTCAAGGCTGTGTCCTTGGGCAACCTCTAGATCAGGAAACTCAAGCAAGCCATGCGCTCTAAAGACAAGGAGGGGATGAGGGACCTCCAGTTGCCGTTGAGTCACTGAGTTTTTGAAACTGAGTTTTGGGGCAGTTTGTTAAAAAGCATTATTATAGCAAAAGCTGACTTAGCCGCAGGCCTATACTTCCAGCAATATAGTGGACACATATTTTGTTTAAATCTACTTATTATTATAACTTCTTTCCATCAATGTTGCTCCTCTTGTATTTCTTATCTTGGTTAAGAAATTTTGTGGTATGTTCGATTCGTTAAAATGATGTGTCATAAAAGACCTTTGGTGATATAACCGTAACTGATTTTTAAAAATCTTTTTATTCTGCTATCTCTTCACATACATATGCTATGCTTCTGCTACACATGCCTCTGGCTTTTCTCTCAATGAATCATAGTCATTTAAAAAACATTTATATTAGAAGTTGAAAAACAATTATCATTTTATTTTACAAAATATTTATTATTAACTTTTTAAGTTGACGTTTGTCAGTGTTTCTCCAAAGTAGCTTTTCTTTATTCTCAACTTCAAATTACTGCATAATAGCATTTAGAATCTTGAAGTTTCTCTGTTTTGGTGTTTTTATCAAACAGCATAAAATTCTAGCACAAGAGAAGGAAAGTCATACCTACCACAGACCCTTATTTCTCAGGCACCAGCATTGTTTATTTCCACTTAGCCAGATAAATTTTGTTTGATTTTTATCCCTATTTCCATGGAGATTTCAAATTCATTGACATTGTCTACTATCATATTAGACACTCAACTGTGACCGACTCTTTGCAACCTCAGGGACAGTAGCCTGCCAGGCTCCTCTGTCCATGGGATTCTCCAGGCAAGAATACTGAAGTGGGTAGCCATTCCCTTCTCCAGGAGATCATCCCAACACACAGACTGAACCTGGGTCTCCTGCATTGCAGGCATATTCTTTACATTCACTAAATGTGAATGTGCCAAGAACTGTGCCAACCATGTCCTTGTAACAGATCAACAAAGAGGAAATCCATGATTCTTATCTATAGATCCCAATAGTAGAAGCTGAAAGTTGCTCAGTTGTGTCCAATTCTTTGTGACCCCAGGGACTATACAGTCTAAAGAATTCTCCAGGCCAGAATACTGAAGTCTGTAGCCTTTCCCTTATCAAGGGATCTTCCCAACAGGGATTGAACCCAGGTTTCCCACATTGCAGGTGGATTCTTTACCAACTGAGACACAAGGGAAGCCCAAGAATACTGGAGTGGGCAGCCTATCCCTTCTCCGGGGGATCTTCCCAACCCAGGAATCGAACCAGAGTCTCCTGCATTGCAGGTGGATTCTTTACCAACTGAGTTGTGAGGGAAGCCCAATACATGTATCATGGTTTAGATGAGCAGAGATACCTCAGAAATAGCTTATGACAAGTTTTACATACTGCCTGTGCCTTGGTGAAATGCTATTTCCTTACTTTACCCCCCCCCGACTTATTTCTCCTTATTCTTCAAGATCAGTGCAAATGATAAATTTTCTTTCAGCATCATTTCTATTTTCCTGATGGAGCTAGCTGTGCTCTCTCCTGGCCTCTCTTAACACTATTGTAATATCTATCACATTACATAGGTTATTTTTTATCTTCATTCATAAAACTATTGTGGTATCTATCGTATTACATAGGTTTTATTTGTCTTCATTGCTTTCTCTCAATTTCTCTCACTTATTTACGGATATGTATTTCAAGTTAATTGTTTTGAATTCCTAGCCCCTAGCTCAGTAACTACTGTGACAAACATGTTGAATAAATACTTGCAGTCACCACAATACTTTCTTCCCCTCTACACACACTCCCTATCATTTCTGAGCTTTTTTTTTTTTCCTGCTTCATAAATCTTTTAGAGGTTACCCTGGCCCAGAGAGAAAACATTCAATACACCGTTGCTACACTGGCATACCTCACCAGTTTCCGTATCTGTTGCAGATTTCAACCTGGGAAAACAACCATGTGTCCCAGACAGGTAGGAGAGGCAGGGATGCTGCAGAGAGGCTGCACTGTCTCATGCAAGATCGCAACTCCAAATGGAAAATAAATGCACTGCAACCACCACAATCTGAAGTAAAAGTCAATGTATGGGACATAAAGCCTCCTGATTTTAGTTATAAACTGTATACATCTTTGAGGCTTGCGGAAAAGCCATCAAGGACCATCATGGAAGAAGGAAGAAGAAAAATCCCTGATTTTCCAGGAAAAATGGTTCACCTTCCCAGCCTAAGGAATCCTCCCAAGAAGGCCATATCTCCTAAATTTATAACTACATTCCCACGTCTGGATTCACATAAAGCAAAGTTAATGTTTGTGGAGAGTGGAAAATATCCAAATGGTGTATACCTCAATCCAAAACCACATGACTTTCGACAGGTACAAAAAAAGCATTTGATTCTAAATAACTTAAAATTAGATATGGGGAAAATGTATTATTTTTGTTCATTTCTTAACTATAACTATTATGTGAATAAAAAAAGTATATGTGAATATAATGTGTATAAAGTTGAAGCAGTATTTCTCATGCAGCAACACAATTCAAATTCAGCAATAAATGGATGGCAAAGGATGGCTGATGTTTCTGATGGGGTTTTATTTGCTGGAAGGGATGACCAATTTAGGGATGGCTTTAGAAAACCATTCAAGAAAGGGTTCAAGAAGATCTTGGACTGAAGTATGTTTGGAAAACTGTTTCCAGGAGTTTACTGTCTAGTAATGAATCAATCATGGAACAAGTGGATGAGTGAATGAAAATTGACAAAGAGGGGATATTGTATTACTTCAATGAGTCTTTCTAATGGTTTGGAGTCTTTCTAATATTTTGAACAATATATGAGCAAGAATTTCTAATTTAAAATTGTGGTGGAAAATAAATATTTAAGGAGATGCGATTAGGTCAAAATATAATTCCATTAGAACATGAATATATCCTATATTTAGGTCTATAATCTAACACATAAATATGGTTCTTGCTAGGTAAAGAGAGAAGCAATAGGACTGATAATACCAAAAAATCTAAAAAAGAAAAAATAAAAAGGAAAAAGCTTATTCCAGTGGGAAAATATAGGAAAACAGTTAAGAGTATTGAGTATCCTAGTTCTCTTACTTTCTAATAATTTTGTATAAGTTGTTAAGCCTCTCTCCTTATTTGTACATTGGGATAAAAATACTACATGTTTTATATGGTTATTTTAAGTAACGAAGGAGACAATTACATACAAATTTCTTACAACAAAGTTGGAAATATTGAGGTACTCAATAAAAGTGAACTTTTAGGGGCTATTAGGATAAAAGTTGGGAAATTCAAAAATCTTTGATCTGTAACCTTATTTACTTATCCAGGGCATCTAAATGCTTCTGTTTGTAGTAAGTGAAACATATTACCTTTTGTAAATGAGGGGAGGTCATTTGCAATATCAAGTGCAATTGGTTTGTTTATTTAAATTAATTTTAATTATTTAATTTATTTAAATTTCACCAAAATTAGAATTGCACGACTTGGATAAGTAAAAGTTCAAGGAATGAGGAACTTTTAAAAAAGTTTTATTGGAGTATAGTTGATTTATAGTGTGTTAGTTTCAGATGTATAGCAAAATGAGTCAGTTATACATAAGATACATATATTCATTCTTCTTTAGACTCTCTTCTCATATAGGTCATTGAGTAGAGTTTCCTGTGCTACCAGTAGGTTCTTATTAATTTTCTCTTTGATATATAGCAGTGTGCATATGTCAATCCCAGTCTGGGACTTTTAAATTCTGTGTCAATTGATTTGTTTTTTAAGAGTGAATGGGAAGCAGCAAGATATAAACTATACAACCACCAGATGTCAGTATTGTTACAGCTTTAAACAACTGACAAATTTTTCTAAACTAACTTGGCTTCTCATTGGATTTGATGAAAGATAAGACATTTTGCATTAAGGAATTTCCTTCGGGACTTGTAGTGTTTGCGGTGGCAGGACTAGAAGCACCAAGATGTGAGCCTTGTCTGCTTCTGCGTCACATCTCCAGTTCATGCTTCTCGTGTCGCACTGGTTTAGCTTTCAAGCGGAGACGTTTGTGTTGTTTCATTTGACTGGACTCTGGGAAGTGTATAAATCCTATTTTAGTTCGTACTGGTGCATTTAAACCATATTAAAGAAAACTTTGTTTTATAATTTGCTAAAAACAACCAGTATTTATTCTATTCCAGTCTCAGCAAATCATTTTTAGCTTTATTCAACATTTTTCCTATTGCCTGAAATAAATGCAGCTCTAGAAATAAAACATGTAATTCTATTTGCATTTGAGATTATGTTGCTAAATTCTGAATAGATTCTTTTTATTTCATCCTGTTTAAAATATCTTTTCTAAATTATTCACAGAAGGATAAGTGAAGTCCTCACTCCATCATAAAATGAATTGGTTAAACACTGTCTGGAATCTTGGATTATTACATCAACTGTTCATATGCAGGTTTTAAATGCTACAACAAAATCCTCAAAATACATTTTACTGGTGAAATATTTAATTTTTGGAGAAACAGAATTCCAAGTAGAATGTTAGCAATAAGAAACAATATTTATTAGTAATAGCACAATCTTCTCTTTACATATCTAGAATGAACATAATTTACCAAATTTTGTGATGACTTATGAAAAGGATCCTTTTGGATTAAAATTTAAGTCACAACACTTAAGTACAGGTAAGTTGTTATCATAAAGTTATGAACATGGCAAACATAAGCTTTCTGCATTATATCTTAACAGGAATATTTAAAAAGGCAAATAATTCAAAAAGTATTTTTTTACTTATCACCTTTAATGATACAGTAAATTTTTTAAATTCTCAGTTCATTGATGGCAACAATCCATATGCTTTGTTATCCACAACTTTTAATATATTACTAAAAATTACTAAAAATCGAGCTGTATCTCAGTGTGTTCTGTGTGGAGAACCAATGAGTTAAAATAGATTCCAAAAGCAAGATGCAAAGCTTTGAATCTTGGCCTCACTGCCTTAAGTTACCTAAACTGTCTATATCTTGGTTTCCTTACCTATAAATGGGAATGATAATAGTTGAATTTACATCATAAAATTTTTGTGAGCATTGAATCACTGGGTCTCCTGCAAGGCTGACATATTCTTCACCATTTGAGCCAACGGGGAAGCCTATACATATGTAAAGCACTTAGTAAATAATGTATGTAAAGCATAGGCTGTCTAGCACATGGTAATATACATACCATTAGTATTATTATGGTGCCATTTGTATAGTGTTTATGCAGACTTAATTTGTATAATCCAGTATTTTTATATGGCTAAGGCTAATACATACTATATTTACTGTTATAATTACATATCAATTATAAACCAGTAAGGTGTTAGCAATGGTTGTTTCTGGATAGTGGGATAATGGTTAATTTTATTTTCTTCTTTTCAAAATGAGTAGCAAATAATTTTATAATTGGAAAATTAAGATAATTTACTTGCAAATAATGTACACATTTTAGCATGGATTAAATTTAAAAGGCCTTGTCTAAGTACATGATTAAATTAGTACACCTCAGATTTCCTCGTGTGTAAGTAACTATGGAAGAAAACAGCAAAAATATTTTATAAGACCAGGTCTTTGGTGTCAGGAAACATCTAACTCAAATATAAGGTAGAATGCAAACTATGCCTCTTAAGTCAAAAGCACTAATGAGAAAAAATTTTTTAAAGAGATTCCCAAGGAAATAAAATAAGGTAGGATTTGAATTGATGTTTGGAGAAGGGCAAAATTAATTCTAGCAGAAATAGTAGAAAGGATAAGAAATTTTAAATTGAGATTTGCATCTATAAATTGCCCAGCAATTCACTGCTCCTGGGTCCTGATCTCCAAAAATGAGACCATCTTGTGAGAGACTTCATGAACAAAAAGACTCATGTCACTGTTAAGTTTCTCGTTTGTCTTCTTATCTCTAGTAAGTGGGTGCCCATCGCTGAAAAATGGTCAGCAGAACAGTACAGAAAGATTTATCACTTACAAGCCTCGTGAATGCACCTGGGATTCAAAGCTAATTTTACCAAAAGCCCCTTGGCCCGTTAAATCTGCTTCATACACAGTGAGTTTGCCTCTTTTTCCGTAGCTGTTGTGGTTTGTATATAGCATTGTTAACGATTGCTTTAATGCAGGAATTCTTCATTTGTTATAGTGAAAGATATGCCTATCTTTAAAAGTGAAGCATTCAGATTTCTGCTTTTACTTAAAATGCAAATAATGGATTATCTAGAATTTGGGTTTGCTTTTTTTTTTTTCTCATATCAAAGATAGTTGGCATGGTGGATTGAAGCCTAAACGTTGTGGGAAATCTTGCCCAAATTTACTCCCACTTTTTTTGAAGCAGCCCACTTTGACTGTATTGCACTCAAGTAAGGCCTGACAAGAGGGCTCTCCCAAACACTGAAAAAGATGCTGAAACACATTTTATGCCTCAAATTCTCCCCTGGACAAATTAGGCTTCTTTGAATAGTCTTGCATGTACAAACAGAACAAGATGTGCATTTGGCATTGGAGCAAGTTTTTAAAGTCAAAGATTATTAAATAGCAATTTTTTAAAAGATAAAAAAATTAAAGTTGATATATGCTCGCTTTCACTAACTTCCTTTGTATCATCTTCCTTAAGAGACACAGAAGGCGGCGAGATGCATACAGTGCGTTTATGGATCGTGTGGAAGAAAAGTTTAATAAGACATGCAAGAACAATGGGCAAAAAGTTTAAGATTTCTTGTTGAACACTTAGATTAACTCCTTAGAATTACTACTCAAATGACTGTTCTCACTACTATGTACTTTATCCTACAGAAGCTCTACTATCACAGCAATCTTAAATGAAGTATTTGTGTTGTGCTTAAATCATTTTAAGAATGCAGTCTCTTGATCAAATAATCCTGATTTTTTCCTAGATTTCAGCGTCATTCTGGAAAACTACACATTGATCATGTTACAATCCCAAATTTTGTAAACACTGTTGGTGCCTGCAAACTCGCCTCAGTCTTTATTATTCCAGAGAATTGGTGCTTAACTTTCAAAGGCCAACGTCTGCATCTCCTTGCCCAAGGGCTGTCTCTGGCTGTGAAACTGACCACAGCAGGTCCTTGTGCCCGGTGGCTGTATGTCTCCTAGCAACGGCCCTGAAGCAAGAACTGAGATGGTTGTTTTACAGTGTTCCCCAGGGCTCCCCAAGGGGGTTCAACTCCTGCTGTCTCAGTAATGATTTACACTTTGTTGACTTCCTTCCTTTTCCTTTATCACCTGCCCAAGTTCTTACCTTCATCTGAGGAATTACACGATTTCATTAGAATCCTTGAAATGGCTGCTTCTGCCGGTTTCCTCTCTTGCAGGCACCTTCCATCCCTTTGCTCTATAAATGTTGACTCTGGCCCCTCTGAACGGGCTCCTTCCTCAGGGGAACCAGAATGGATATTCCGCAGTGCTTCCCCTCCCCGCCCCCAAGGATAACGATGCCTACTTCTTTAAAAAGGCCTTCAGAGTTTTAATCGTTTACTTAATTTGAGTGGAATGGAGTGTGAGAGTAGCAGGGCTTGCCTGTCCACCTTTTAAAAAGCCCTGTAGGAATAAGTCTGTTAGCAGCTTCTCTGTGAAACATAGGAGTACTTATTTCCTTGTATCCTCTGCTTTGGGGCGTTTGCCTCCTTTCAAGACCACGGGAAGCATCGCATGTCCACACCCTGTTAACACTGGTATTCCTTGCCTCAGTGCACTCTACCTCCGGTCACCTGAGAGCCTGGGCCGCCAGCTCTCTAACGCCTCAGGGGGCTTCAGCCCTTTCATGGGAGTCATCCTCCCATCAGCCGGCCTCTGGTCTTCCCTCTCCTCCCGCCAACCGCAGTCTTATTTGAATACCCCTGTCCATCCAGGCACCAGCATCACCCAGAGCACACCTCTATCTAGCATAGCTTTTTTTTTTTTTTTAACTAAAGTAACCCCTGGTGGTTCATTGGTAAAAATTTGCCCGGTAATGCAGGAAATGCAGGTTTGATCCCTGTGTCAGGAAGATCCCCTGGAGAAGGAAATGGCAACCCACTCCAGTATTCTTGCCTGGGAAATCCCATGGACAGAAGAGCAATCCATGGGGTTGCAGAGTCAGACGTGACATAGCAAGTAAACAACAACAAAAACATAGTTGATGTATAATATTGTATGTTTCAGGTGTACAACCTAACGATTCACAATCTTTAAAGGTTATATTAATTTACAGTTATTATAAAATATAGGCTATATTCCCTGTGATATACAATATATCATTGTAGCTTATTTATTTTATACATAGTAATTTGTACCTCTTACTCCCTAACCCCACTGTTGCTCCTCCCCACTTCTCTCTCCCCTTTCCTAAACACTACTTCTCTGTAAGTTTGTTTCTTTTCTGCTATATTTGCTAGTTTGTTTTATTTTTTAGATTCCACATATAAGTGATATCATACACTATTCGTCTTTCTCTGTCTGACTAATGTCACTTAGCATAATATACTCCAAGTCCCTCCATGTTTTTGCAAATGGCTATTTTCAAATTTTCATCTTTTTTATGGCTGAGTAGTATTTCATTGCATGTGTATAGTGGTGGTTTAGTAGCTAAGTTGTGTAGCTAAGTAGCTAAGTAGCAAGTTGCCAACTCTTGCAACCCCATGGACTGTAGCCCACCAGGCTCCTTTATCCATAGGATTTTCCAGGCGAGAATATTGGAGTGGGTTGCCTTTTCCTTCTCCAGGGGATCTTCTTGACCCAGGGATCAAACTTGGGTCTCCTGCACTGCAGGCAGATTTTTTACCAACTGAGCTACCAGTGAAGCCTACACACACACACACACACACACACACACACACACCACATCTTCTTTATTTATTCATTTGTTGATGCATGCTTAGGTTGCTTCCATATTTTGACAATTATAAGTAATGCTACTATAAACATTGGGGTGAATGTATATTTTAAATTAATGTTTGGGTTTTTTGAGGATATATACGTAAGAGTGGAACTGCTAGGTCATTTGGTAATTCTAATTTTAGTTTTTTTAGAAACCTTCATAATGTTTTCACAGTAGCTGCTCCATTTTACATTCTCACAAACTGAGTACAAGGGCTCCTTCCCTTTCTATTCTTGCCAACATTTGTTATTCGTGTCCTTTTTGATGACAGCCATTCTGACAGGTATGTACATGCTTGTAAGGGATGCACGGCTTCTTTTTCTAATTAAGTAGTAAAAAACAGGGTCTTGTCTGATTTTGTTTTATAGGTGTATGTGCCTGGAATGTAGTACTCTAAAACTTTGCTCATTGAATTAATGGAGGAAACTGGATGAGGGTCATTATAATACATGGATATAGATTACCAGGAATTAGAAATAAAGTGGTCTGGTTACACTCCTCAGCACTCTGCCATCTTCCCGTGGCTGATGGAGGAGATGCTTAACTGTGTGAGATAGGATATATGTACGAGTCCTTGATTTTTGCATCCTTTAGTAGTTTTTTTACAGATCAAACTCAGCAATGTGCAAACACTCTCATTGAAATAACTTCACTCAATTCTTTCCGGAGCATGCAATGTTTAGTTAGGTATTACTATTATTGCAATTTTGTAAATCTGGAAACTGAAGTCCCATTAGAAATTTAATGTTCATAACACTTATAAATGATGTCACTGCAAAACACTCACAATGAGTGGCAGATCACAATAGCATGTGCATCCTTTCTGATAAATAACCCCAAATAAATTTGCTTGACTGACATGGTATAGTTCTTATTCCATATCACAGCTGTAGCCCTATCCAAGAAGTCATTTTTGTTATCATGGAGGTATGAACTTGTTCTAGATGGTTAGCTCTATAATGAGTTAAGAGGACTGAACAGATGACATCTACCGTTTGCACTCAAGTTTCTGGTTCTGGGAGTGATACATCAGGTATATTCACCCTTTAGAGAAGCAAATTCAGGAAAATCTGTCTCACATTTCTCCTTTGTTCAATTAGACAGTAGATGAGCCAAAACAACCTAGGGCTTCCTGAAGTCCCTCCTGAATATTCATTTTCTGTGCATTTCCTTATGAAAACGTTAATGGGTTTTGTCATCAACCAGATTAGAGGGAAATTTACACATTCTCAGAGGTCAAAAAAAAAAGTGGTTTTAAAGTTTTAGAACAACAAAATTTTCAAACTGAAAAATAATCTGACTTGAAAGTTCCTGTTGCAACAGAGATAAGAATACTCATCAGGGTTTTGATTTTGTTTGTGAAAGATCTTTCAACTGTAAGTGGCAATGTTGAGAAAACTTATACTTTCTGGTAATACCCAAAGTGAAAGACATGTTCTAGTCTTGGGTTAAGAAGAGTGAGATAAACAAGAATAATCCTTGTTAGTTTTCACCATCAAGCTTCCCTGAGGCAGGCATTGCAAATATTATATTTGTATCCATCATAGTAACAAGAATAATTCCTAACATATAGAGTATATTCTTTTAAAGGGTGAATGTCACACTATTTGAGGGGATATAGCTGGTTAAAGGTAGACTTCCCTGGTGACGCAGACAGAGAAACTGCCAGCAATGCAGGAGACCCAGGTTCAATCCCTGGGTTGGGAAGATCCCCTGGAGAAGGGCATGGCAACCCACTCCAGTATTCTTGCCTGGAGAATACCACGGACTGAAGAGCCTAGTGGGCTACAGTCCATGGGGTTACAGAGAATCTGATACAACTGAGCAACTAACATGTCAGCTGGTTAAGGGTAGAAATTTTTGACCTAAAAAAATTGAAGACAATGTAGCAACCAGGGTGGAAGTAATCCACACACAAAAAAGACACTTTTCCAGGGGGGATATTATTCCAAGACAAAAAAATAGGAAAGTTTAATTTGTGGCATAGCAATGTTTTTCTAAGGCTTAAATTGTTCCCAGAAGTAGATTTTATTTCAGGAATCACAAGATGCCAGATGGTCTGTGATAGTATTTAATTCTCAAATAAAAATTCAAGAGTTTTATGTATGAACTTCATATTTACAAGGTGACATAGATTAAAACAGTCAAAGTTTACTTTAAGTTTACTGCATATTATGTCAAAACCTGAATCTTTATTTTTCAATTTTTTTCAATACATGTTTTTTAAAGTTTACTTGAGAAACTCAGATAAATTAAAAGACAGATGATCTTCAGCTAACAGAGACAAAATTTGTCCTTGAAGATCATCAGCTTTGGAGAATTTATAGTTCCAGAGGGGGAAATAGTCTTTTTTTTAATGTTTGAAATCAGTTTCTAAAATTCTGTTTAAAAATCTTGCAGGAAAGAAAATGAAATCACTTATAACTTCTTCTTTTTTTCTGATCAAGATTTGATAATTATCATCTTAAAAGACAAAATGAGGATAGAACCTCATGTCTCTGACATTGTTATCAAATGAACTACCCTATCTTCTTTCTAATTTTCAATTCCAAAACTAATTGAAATACAGTCAAATAAGAATTTAATAGCTCTGTTTATATAAGCCACATTAAGTGGAAAGATGAGGCAATGAGTTATTGCATTCTGCAAAGGATGTTCTGCATAATTCAAGTTTCTTGAAAGTTTTAAAAGGTGATCCATGAAAAGAAAATGTATCCCTTAGAAAAATAAATGTAGCAAATACTGGATTAAATGTATTAGGTGAATTTACTTAGGGCACCTGAGTAATAAGGCTGGAATATTTCAGAGCTTTGTTCTTGGCCCTCATCTCTTTCCTGTTTATATATACTCTTTTAGTGATTCCACTCATTCTTACTGCTTTAAATGTCATCTACATACCTTTCCTAATGTGTATTCCTAGCCCTG